TTTTAATTTGTTGCTATCTAAAATTTTGAAAGTTTAGCAGAAAAACTAGTATGAAAAGTTTGGCTAAAAAAGTTGTCCCTAATCTATCACAAATTAAACTAGACGGTTTTTTTCAAAATATGGAATGGGACATTTTAAAACAGAACAAATTCCATCAACATATGATAACTTGTTAAAACATTTTTAACAATTTATGGTAGTTTTTAATGATAGATCGATCATAGGAAACTATGTTGCTAATATCTATTTCTTGATGACTAGGCGATTCTCCTACTACCGAACTCAGCTACCAACAGTGGGTCTTACTCAACTTTCTCCAACTTGATTTTAATTCAATCTATTCTACAATTAGCTAGTTTTCTTTTCTTTTTGTAGTGATTAGTTATACATTTTGATCCTCGGATTATGATAATCACCAACAAATGAGTAGGATGCAAGATCTGGTAAACATACAATCATTATCGCAAACAAAATCGTGTTTAGTAGTTAACAAATCATGGGGGATACGGGATACCACATGATTTGGCCAGACAACAAGATAATCACATTTGACTTGGAAAAATCATACTTGGGTCCCATTGTTTAGAAAAATATAAAAAAACTGGCGCATCTATATAATTTAATGCTGCTACAATCAAATACTATTTGATCTTCTATCATAATTTTGATGGTCACTTTTTATGCAACTAAACTCAAATGTATGTATTACACATTAGAATGCTCGTTTAATAAAACCCCTTAATATGACGGCAAAAAAAAAACCCTTTAAATTGTGCAGTAAGCATAATGTACTCAAAATATATAGCCATCTTCGTTATACTTATAACTAATCTTGCGTACGTTACTACCAATCTACAGAACAAAGATCGGAATGCGGTTAGAGATACTATTTTAATCAGACAAAAGTTAAAAAGAATATATTTTTAGGCTATTTTAGTGACAACATTTAATAACAGTTGTACAATTGAATTGTCGCAGGAATAATTTGGACGTATTTCTTTTTATGAAAGAACCAAACTATTTTTTCCTATAAGAATGTCCTTTTCAATTGCTATAGTTTACTAACAATCATCATTTGTTAAAATTACTAACTAACAAATCTAACCGTTAACAATCTCCATTTCGACACTTGCACAAATATTATTTCAAATCATTAAGATCCAACGTTAAACATGTATTGTAAAACTCATTAATGAAAATGTTTATTCAATCGAATTAATGGTAACCAGAGAAAATAGAGAATAATAATATGTGGGTGTAACAGTAGTGCTCGTAATGCGACAAAAAACATACTAACAAAAAAAAGTCGTAGAAATAAAGCAAAGTTTTTATTATAGACAGAAAGT